GCACGAACAGGAGCACGGTTTAAGTTGACAAGCAATCCTGAATAGACGTCCTCCTAATCCTGGATTAGATTCCGCGTGAAAATGGCGTAACCGGCTCGGCTTCTGAAACCGTCGGCGCGATAATCCGGCAATTCTTGTTTCCGGCGATTCTCGGCGATCGAATTAACATAGGATATTCGCTACAATAGCGACGTGCCTTGAAAATAGCTATCTAAAGATAGAGGGAGGTCTATTGTACGCGGACGTAGTCGTAGTCGTTTTTCTCCCTCTCCCCTCGCTCAATGGATTAAACCGCGGCCGTGTACGCGCAGTGTCTTTCTCAGCTTAGATCTCACGAATGAGCGAAAGATAGGAGACAAACGAATTGGCTTCTTACCGTTGTAATCTGAAGAAGTATGCCGAGAGATGGCAAGTAAGATACGAGACACTTGCGTGCCAGTGAAGGATCGCTGAGGGAAATCATAGTCATTAACATTCATGCATTTTAATGTAAGTTCTACATATTATACACGATATATCACAAAACAAACATTTTTTCCTGTAATTCTTCATAATTCTAAATATTTATATCTAATTTAATGATTTATGTTCCATTTCAAGTTGTTAAAAATAGATTGCTAGACTAGATTGCTTATAAATTCGTCGAAAATGTGCTTTTAAGAAAAATGTTCGTATACATTTTATATCTACACCTAAGAAAAATTAAGATATTATATTTCTTACCTTCCTTTTCTTGTCGTTGTCATTTTATTCTTTTAAAATTGCTATTAATATAACATTAGCTACTTTTCAGTTCGCGTGCAAGAGGTATCTCTTGGATACAGTCTCTTGCGTAATTTGTTGCGTAACAGGATAATGTGCTACTAAAAAAGTTAACTGACGACCCCATTTAACCAAGTATTATATTTAATCGTCCAACTTTCGAACCTTCATCCGATTGTCACACGTTTATTCTTAGAAATATGAAGATCATTCAAGGTTTTTCTTTAATATCAGAAAAGCATGTTCACTTTGCAACATTGTAATATATTACAATAAATATGATTACATACGATTACATAAATATGATTATTAAATTAATATATAGTTTATTTTACATATATGTGTATATATCCAATTATTTAGAAAACTATATTGTAATAATGCACAAAAATAACGTAATAATATAATTCTAAACTCCACATCGTAAAAAGTGACATGAAGAAAATATCTAAATTTAAAACGTTTTATTCAATACGAATGTTTAATAATAATAAATGTTTCAAAATTGTTTCAAAAATGTTTTAGTGTTTTAAATCTAAACATCACGGCATCATCCGTTTTATAATTAAGATATCTTTAAATATTTCAAAAATGGAAACAAGGAATAAAACACTTTAATGTCTTAAAATTAAACATCTCTTTTAGTGCATACCTACTACATCTAAATTAAATTTTTTGCAGAAAAATTCGAAATTCTATTCTTACCTATAAACTCTCATTCTAACAAAATTATTTAATTTTTTGTTTGCTTAAAAAATAATTTTCATGTTCTAAACTGTCCAATAATATGTCACTTCGTAATATGCATATATAAGATAGTGATAAAAAAGAAAAAACAGGGATAATTTTTCAAAAAGCTATCTTTTCAGCACGCAATACCGTTACAGCAATAATGACAATCGATTGGCGACATCCAAGAATCCTAGCTCGAATGATTTCCACGCGGCATCGTGACGCGCGATTGCCGCTTTCATCTCCGACGTCTCCGGTGTCTCGCGGCGAGAGTTGCATAACGAATTTATAGGTAACGAAAGGGCCGGTAACGAGGGAACAAACGACTCCTTGTCTCCGGAGAGACAAGTCGCACGGATACGAAACAACCGTTACGGCGATTTAGGTGTCGAAAGTCGAACATTTCCAGCGTCGCCGCTGGAGACGGCGGCGATTCGTATCCCTGGCGGCCGTCGATCAACGAGAGAAAACGTGGTAATCCTTGAACCGCACCGCGCCGCGGTAAGTCTGCCTCTAATCACTGTTTATGACGTTTTCTAATGACAACGTCGCGTGACCAATAAACCGTGTCGTGACCTCCCGCGACACACGTCCGCGGAATTGCAATCTGTACTGCCGATCAAACTGGCTCTCGCACACGTTCACAGTTGATTAAGGCATTCGTCATGCAATCTAAGTTGAGTAGTGCTAAATGATAAATTCTGATACGTAACGAGGATATCAATCGCTTAAATTAATTTTTCAAAATTTTTATATATGTTCATCAAAGATATACTACTTTTAATATATCTTTATAAACATATATAAAATAAATTTATATAATATAAAATATAAAATTATTAAAATTTATATAATAAAATTTATATAATATAAAATTTATATAATGCATTTACGTAATATAAATTTTTTTGTTTATTTCGTAAATAATTTGGAAAATATATTCTCGTCCTTAGATCAATTTAAGTTTTCTGTCATTTAAATAACTATTGAAAGATATTGTAATCATTTGATGAATCTTGAAATGTCGGTAGATGTTTCAAATTATCACTACGTGAACTTTAGTTCACGACAATAGCTAAAGATTAAGATGCACGATTGTCGTCGGTCTGTACGAAATATATTGGCGAGTCCAATTTGTGTCAAACGCTAGATCACGGAAGATATGTACCAGTAGCAATAAAATTTTTATTGGACGATTGTATTTTGATTGCGCGCCATGAATTTAGGGAACGGGCTCGCTCGAGCGATTCACGTCAATGTGCAAGTCGACGACAATGTCGACGATTAAGAATTATGTGAATCGTATCTCCGTTAATTTTCGAGGATCGTCCTCGAGCGAAGCAGACGGTAATTTATGCCGAAGAACAGAAATTTAAGCGCGACATCGCCTCGTACACCACGCGCGATACAATTAGCGAGAGAGGATCATGAAGGAAGATGAAGTAAGAATCGACTTTGTCCCGCGGCTATTCATCAACTCTGGAAAACAGCGAGACGATAGTCTCGATTAATTAATATGATCGGAGTCTAATCTCAGAATGAGGTAATCAGGATCCATTAATCGCATCATGAATCACGAGTATAAAATGAATAAATTTTTAAGACTAGGCTCTCGTCAAAATGATTATGCAAAATATAAAAAATAATGATCGCAAAATATTTACTGTTTTAATTGAGCAATGATTATTTCATCAATAGACTTCATATTTCTCTCTGAAAATGTTTCAAAATATTTTTAATTCACTGAGATATTTACTTTTTAATTATCATATCTCGTATGTTGAATAATGAGATTTCATTTTGTCATACGCATTGCTGCTAATTTCAGCTCTTCGTAACGCGACATAAGTTTTTTATTGCCCTGTATTATCAACGCGGCGCAATTTACGAGAAGGATACACGACTACAATTGATTATGCACGGTTGTCGTAAATCAGGCAGGTTATTATTTTACGATGAGCGTAATTTTGTTGCGATTATTGGTAGTAAATTGCAGCCAGCGACGCACGACTCTCGAGAGACGGAATGTTAATGTTTGCATAATTATGATAACTTGCACCGTGATTCCATGGTTTTTTTTTTATAGTCGCAAGTTATTTGTGTTTTATGATGATTTACACACACAGGAAAAATACGCGGAGATGATATATCCTTTGGTATTCATGTAACACTTGTTACCGTCAAAATGTGACAGCAAGTCGATTCCATATATTACTTCCCTTTTGCACTGCCGTTTTCTGAATTTTTATATATATATATATATATATATATATATATATATAATAGTTAGTTAATATATAC